TATTTAATCTATATACATATATATATATGTATATCATATTAAATTTTTTATTTTAATATATTTAATATATTCCTTTTAATTAATATGAATCTAATTTTGCCAAAATTCCTCCAATATAAATATTGGACAATGGCGTCAACCCTAGCAAAATTACCAAAGTGCCCTTTTCACCCAAAATGATGAATGCCCTTCGACTCCCAAATTACTAAAATACCCTTTTCGGCCCAAGGACTAGATTGTCTTTCCATTTCCATTTTTCACTTAACAACCTTCTATGTGTGTAACTCGAAGGCTCTCTACTTTGTTGGTAGTGTCCCGATAACTAATTAGGTATCAACCAATTAGTGTTTTCGTACACCAATTAAGATTGGCCTCTTACAAGGCATCATGATTCCCTGGTAAGCAAAGATTTAGCAATCAAGCTTTCCTTGTCGACGGTATGGTCACCGTGCAATTCGATCCATTTCATCATCTTATATCTCATCAAGATTTGAGGTACATAAGTAGTGTCTACCTCAAAACTATTTCCTTGACATGTTGTATATTCGGTTCTTGAATCTAACGACTATATGAGATTAGATTCGAGCACCAACTCGATGCCACCATGTCCATGACTTTGCAGTCATAGTTCTTTAACCAAATATCTCGATGAGATAACGTCTCTTATAACTAAGAGTGATGAATCCTTAGTTGATCAACCATAGCCATAGTGTACTTCCCAATGTAACCAACCACCACCGTTTTGGTAACCCCAAAGAGAGACAATGTTAGGTTGGTGTCAAATCACATCGATCTTTACACATGGCGCTTTGGTGATCTCAAGTCGAAGGACCATATGCACCACCATCCATAAGAGGATATATTCCATAGACATTGAGCTACCTTCTTGTACGAAATCCTCTGATGGGTCAATCCAGTGGACTTGAACAAGCAAGCACCCATGCGTTGCACTAGGTTGATGCTCACAACCTCGACATGTAAGACTTATCACTATCTTTCCATAAGGTCATTCAACGCAATGATAGTCTCTCTGTATAATCTGTGTCCTAGGTCAGATTTATACTATGACTACAGATGGTTTAAGAAAGGCTAACATTTGTGCTCATAGGGTTCTCTCAATTAAGATTTATGACACTTAATACCCTTATCATAGTTTCAACCTTTCTGCTTATAAAGAAGCGTTTGCCTTCTATTCATATAAAATATGAGTTTACAAGAGCTACAATGTTGGCTCTAGTGCACCTACTCTAACAGAAGCAACTCACCATTTCCAACCTGAAGGTGTTCACTGCTTGTGTAGGTGGAGTTCATTGTCAGCAGAGATAAATCTAAAGTAACATGGTCTGTGGCGCCAAAGTCCATGTACCAGGAGGCATCTTGGAAAGAGGAAGGTGCAGCAATGTAGTTCATACCAGGAGTATAAGAATTTTGAGATTGTGCTTGAGTTAAGAATGCTTGATTCTGTATATGAGAAGCTGATTGAGAATGAGGCAAAACAGAAGTGAGATTTGCTTAGGAAGATACACATGTTTGCCCTGAATTTTGGGAACTAAAATTAGAATAAACTAAAGGTGTGAAACCAGATAGTAAATGTGGCTAGGAGCTTAGAGTCGAGTAATTGGAAGACTGTTGAACATTTGGAGAGTAATACGGTGGTGGTCCTTGAAATTGTTTTGGTGGTCTAAGATAGTTAGAGACAAAATTGTTCCTAATAAAGGCATTGTTCCCAGTGTAATTGAAGTCAAATCTATGGTAGCAATTTAAGGCAAGATGTCAAGTTTTGCCACATACTTGGCAAATGAATTTGCCTCTACCTCCTCCTCGACCTCTGCCTTGACCATTAACAAAATATGGAAAGTAAAATTGGCTTTGTGGTGCGGCACTAAAGAATTGATTTTGACCAATGGAAAAATTTGGAGTAGAATTTGGAGGAGTAAATTGTGAGCTTGAAATACAAGAGCTTGTAGAGAATTAAACTTAGATTGTCCACCACCAAAGCGTGACTACTCAGGTTATGATTTCTTATTCATCAAATCAGAAGAAAGATTGGTCGATCTTCCATGAAATTGAGTGTGTACAACTGAGTTCATTACTAAGTTTGCTCTTTCTATTCTAAGCTCAAACTTTTGTAATATAATTTGTGCCTTTTGAATTGAAATAGTTTCCAGTTTTGACTCTAATTGAGTGAAGATGTTAACTACAGCAGCATCAAATTCATACTCAAGTCCATCAAGAATATGATTCAATAATTGTTCATCAGTCACCATGACTCCACTGGTTGATAAGCTCTCAGCAAAACCTTTCATCTTTACAAAGTAATCATGAATACTAAAGTTTTCCTTTTTAGTATTCTAAAGTAAATTTTTGACATGTGAGGTTTTTGTTCTTGACTTAGTGAGGAATTGCTTTTCTAAAATAAACCAAATGTCAGTAGAAAATTGACACTTCGAAATGATACTGAACATTGATTCAAAAATGGAAGCAAGAAGCCAACTTACCAACAATTTGTCACTTCCAAAGAGTGTATTCTAGATTAGGTTTTTTTTTTTTTTTTTGTCATAATTGAGTCTGTGGTTGCATCTTCAAATTGAACTTTGAAAATTGAGCTAGACATGGAGGTAATCCCGTAAGATGATCTTCAAGATCATATGATCCAACTGCTAACAGGACTTGAGACTTCCAAAAGCGATGATTGTCTCTCGTCAATTTGGGAGAAATGAGTGGAAGAGCAGACGAAGACATCGAGTGAGAGTTTAGGAAATTGATGGAATCTGAATTGATTTTATGGCTTGGATTGTTCTCTGATGTGTTCAAAATAGATGAAGATGAATGAAGATTGGCCATTTTTTACATTTGTCAATGGCTCTGATACTATGAGAGGAGTTCGAACAAAGTAGCAAAAAAGAGAGAAAACTATGGAAAGAAAATGTTATTATTGATTGTTAATGAAATCAGAACAGTACAAGAGCTTTTATACAAAGAGTAAAGTGGTTGATGAACAATAACTAACTGTTAAAGTTCATAGTTAACAGTTAGCACACTATCAGCAGTTACATACTCTTGAATTTAAATCGGTTAATATACTGCTTTACTTACAATGGCATAGTCCTTAATTAATCTAGAAATTTGAAAGTCACCTCTCTCATTATAACTAACTGTTAAAGTTCATAGTTAACAGTTAGCACACTAACAGCAGTTACATACTCTTGAATTTAAATCGGTTAATATACTGCTTTACTTACAATGGCATAGTCCTTAATTAATCTAGAAATTTGAAAGTCACCTCTCTCATTAATGCATTTTGATTCATGTACCTAAACTGTAATTAAATTAAATATCGGTACTTAAGAGTTCCATGAAATATAAATTGAAGTCAATTTATTGTAGTACTTTTAACTTCCCTTTTTCAGAAATATAATTGCTCATCGCGAGTAGGGCTGACCACCTCAATCGATTTTATCATTATTTTATAGATAAAAGCCATTCATTTACTTTGAATTACATGATAGCCATCGCAATTAATGAAAATTTACCCATAAGTATGACCAAATAACATTTCATCATAAGATATCTAAAACAACAATTCACCACTTTATTAGGGTTTCCATCATTGTGGTTTTACTACTTAATTTTACTCAAGAAAATATAATACTATAAGAAGCAAAGTTTTAAAACCTGGCCCGAGGTGAAACCCGGCAAAGTGGCTGGATCCCGGTTGACTAGTTGAACCAGTTTGACTGGTGGGTCAAATTGGTGATGTCAACATGTCAAATGTTTGAAATCCAGCAAACACATTCCTAAAAATTATCCATCAGTCCCTACAGGTTTAAAATCTAACAAACACACCCCAAATAAAAACCTAGCCAAATAGGGCATGTTTCCAACATGGACAACACTCTCTATCACCACGAAAACACTCCCCTCAGCTTTCTGACCAAAACCCATCTCACCCCACCCCCGCTCACTTCGCCAATCGCCGACACTGGCCCGTTGTTGCCACAATGCAATTTTTGCAATTTTCAATCGTTTCACTTACCGGAAATCACCTCCATCGCCACCTTTTGATTCATCGACCCTTCCCCTTCAAAAGCCCCAACATTGCAACTACTAATTGTTTCTCGATCGCTATCCATAAACCTAGGGTTTGCTTTGATAAGTTGTGAACAGTTGAAATTGAGAACCTGACCCGGTCAAGGCCCTAGGTCCCGATTAGACCAGTTCAACCGACCGGACTAGGCTGGATTTTAAAACCTTGATAAAAAGTATAATAAATAATTATATTGCAAAATGAAATAACATAAAATTATGTTCGGTATTTGGTAGCAAAAAATCTCTATTTAATCCAACTAGTTTTTCATCGAAGATATAGCTTTAATTTAAAAAATAATAATAAAAATAAAAAATAAATTTGAGAAGTAATTAAAAACTTTTCAGTAACATGATATATCCCAAATCATCTTTCTACATTAATTTATGCTTTAATTCTAAGTATGATTTGAATGGCATATAAAAATTAGGGTTTATGAGAAGGAAGTGAAGTCTCAAAATTATTTGTAAAGAATAAGAAATCAAAGATAACTTCATCAAATTTATCAGTCTGAAAAATTAATAAAAATCCTATTAATAGGTGTCGATAGAACCTCTCTAGTTTTAAATAGCACTGGACCTGGGCTCCTATAATGAAAGCGGCCCGATGTCACTGTCTTGACAGCAGCTATGGACGCTCGTTTTCTACATCAAAAAAACCTAGAAGTAGTTTTTACACAAATGTTCAGTATTCCCACATAGACTTCGGCACTTCGCCACTTGACACTTGCTTGGATTCTCAAAGAATAAAACTATGAGTAGTAACTAATATGTACGAATTTAAATATTAAATATTAAAAATTTGAAATTTTCTTAAAAAAATTTGAAATTTTCTTAAAAAAATTTGAAATTTTTTCAATGTTAATACTTATATCAGTATAAATTAGATAGTGTACTTAGCATTGTCCATTCTCAAAATCATCAAATAGTGTTGCAGCCAATAAGGTAGACTGCTCACATCCCTCCACGCCCTAAAAGACAATACCTCCAACTCAAAGTTTGAAACTTTCTTGTCTACTTTTCTTCTAGCTATATCATCTCAGAGAGAAATCATGCACCAGAAATTCATTTGAGACACAACCAAAGTGAAGAAAACAATGTTTAGTTTCAGAACGGACCAATCTCTTCTTCTCCTTTCAACTTTCCTCTTCATTTCTTCAACCATATTGTTCTCCCTTGCTCATGGACTTGGTATTCATGGTACGCTTCTCTTCCTCAAGCCTGCATGCTTTGTTGTTTTTACTTCTGTTTTTGAGCAATTTTTTGATCCTCCATAGGAACCATTGATGAAGACGAGTACGGTGTCTTTTCATGGGCGATGAGAAGGTCTGTTCTTGATGATAACAATGTTGAACATGTAGAGGATAACTCAACTTTGATATTGGCTGCAGACAGAACTCATAGAAAGGACCCTCTCGACGATTTTAACTATTATAAAGGTGGATGGAATATCAGTGAAAAGCATTATTTCTCTGTAAGTTCCTCCATCAATTCCATGTTTTATTGCCTCTTCTATAGCTTTATTGTATTTTGAATTGATTCTCTCATCTGGACTTATTGTTTATTGTATTTTGATAATTTCTATGTTCTGTTGTTCATCAAATTCAGACTTGAATTATTTGTGTGACACGAATTTTGCTTAACTTTCTCATTTGGTACCGAATTTATCAGTGTTCTTACTTCTAATTAGTTTCTTTTATGCAGTCTGTTGGGTTCACAGCTGCTCCCCTCTTTCTCACTGGTGCTATATGGTTTGTGGGATTTGGCCTATGCTTGTTAGTCATCAGTGTATATCATTGCTGCTGTCAGGGCCGCAGTTACGGCTATTCTCGAACTGCCTATGCAATTTCGCTTGTCTTTCTCATACTCTTCACCATTTCGGCAATGTGAAGTCCCCATCCTCATTTTTTTACTTTGTGTGCCTTAATGTCTGGATTGAATGAGCTCATGCTGGTTCTGTTCTTTGATTTTTTTATTTTTTATTTTTCCCATGGTTTTAGCATTGGATGTGCTGTTCTGTATACCGGGCAAGGAAAGTTCCATAGAAGCACAACAAAGACATTGGAATTCGTTGTCAATCAGTCAGATACTACTGTCAGTAATCTTAGGATAGTATCAGATTATCTATCTGCAGCCAAGTCAATCGGGGTTGATCAAATACATCTGCCTCCCACTGTCCAGAATAGCATTGATGACGTTGATCAGAAAATAAATTCTTCAGCTAGCAATCTTGAAAAGGAGACTGAGAAAAATTCAAATGATATACAACAAATATTAGATGCTGTGTAAGTATATGTTTTCTTGTCTCTCTTTTTTCGGGATTGCATACCTTTGGGCTTATTTGATCATGATATTTGCTGCTTCCTTGCAGAAGAAAAAGTCTAATCGTAATTGCTTCTGTAATGCTGCTCTTGGCCTTACTTGGTTTCTGTAAGTATTTTCATCCCACCAAGTAGGTGCTGACTTTCCAATCATCTGTATGCTTTCACCTTTTATAGTGACAATATTGTTGTACTTGTTCATTGCAGTACTTTCAGTTATCGGCATACAATTTCTTGTGTACATGTGAGTGGCGACAAATTTATTTATATATGAAGTGCTTTTACTGTTTTCATATCTCTTTATTTAATTGCAATGAGTGGGATTGCAGATTGGTAACATTGGGGTGGATCCTTGTCACTGGCACATTTATTTTGTGTGGCATATTTCTCATTCTCCATAAGTAAGTCTTCTAACTTACATAGAACAAATCTGTATATATACTGTAAGCTGAAGACACTTTCAGAATTTTATGCCTAACACATTTTCGTTTTCACTCAATTTCCAGTGTGGTTGGAGACACCTGTGTTGCAATGGATCAGTGGGTTAAAAACCCTACAGCTCATTCGGCTTTGGATGATATTCTTCCCTGCGTAGATAATGCAACTGCCCAGGAGGCCTTGTCTAAAACCAAAGAAGTAACCTTCCAGTCAGTTGCGGTTGTTAATCGTTTCATCACTAATGTGTCTAACATTAACTTTCCGCCCAGAGCCGAACCTGTATATTACAATCAGTCTGGTCCCTTGGTACCTGTCCTCTGCAATCCATTCAACTCTGACAAGACTGACCGACAATGTGCCACTGGTGAAGTGGACTTTACCAATGCAGCTCAGGTAAACTAAAACAAGTACTTAGCACATAACTCAAGTGAACAAAACATTCAACAGGCATTATAGCCTATAAGTGATACTTCTGAAAAAGCAATAAAATTGATCCCTTGCTAGCGTTTCCTCAATGGAGGAATGTGAAGATTAGGAGTAAAAAAGTATGACAATATTATCATTGTGTTTCTCGCAGGAATGGAGGAAGTACATCTGCCAAGTTTCAGCAAATGGTATTTGCACTACTGTTGGCAGATTGACTCCTGTTTTCTATGACCAGATGATGACTACTGTCAATGTAAGCTACGCGTTGTATCACTATGGTCCATTTCTTGTTCAGCTGGGAGATTGCACTTTTGTTCGCGAAACATTTAGTGGCATCACCGAGCATCATTGTCCAGGCCTGGAGCGTTATAGTAAATTGATATATGTAGGGTTGGTTATGGTTTCTGCTGCAGTTATGCTCTCTTTGATCTTCTGGGTTCTTTATGCCAGAGAAAGGCGACACCGGAAGCACACCAAAGAGTTAATAGCCACAAAATCTGAGATGTCTTAGAAGAGGAGAAAGTTATGCAGTGAGATTCAGATTTGTATATGTTAATTTAATCAATTCAATTTATATATGCTATAGAAATATTTTAGAATCATAGTTGTTCTGCACAGCAACCAATTCTCCAAGCTGGTGGATTTCTATGTATTTTTGCATATGCTTGAATTTGATGAGGATGAGATTACATAGTGGCTAGTGGCTATATTGTATATGTGAGCAAGTGTTTGCTATAAGATGAGCAGTTAAGCTTTTAACACTTTGATAATAAAGCAGGACTTAGTGTGGAAAATAATGTTTGCTATTTATGTAAACTTTGCCATCTCACTTTATTTCAAAGAAAAGAAATTTAGAAGTTAATCTTAGATGTTAATAGTTAATTAAATGCACCGAAGTTTTCCACTGGTTAAAGCGTGGTTGGAAGGAAAAGCTTTTGTTCAAGAGAAAGACTTCCGACCAAATTATAATACAATTAGTCAATAAGAGTATATCAAAGAAGGGATCACTTAGATTGGAAGGATGTAATTTTAAGTTTTTCACCACAGTCCATCTCTTTCTAAGCTGAATAATAATTAAAGCCCCTGATTGATTAACTTCCTAAAACTCTATTCTATAATTATAATACTAGTAAATAGTAAAAATTGTGTTTGTTTTCATATTGACGAAATTTAATTCAAAACCCAACCCTATTCAAAGACATTTTTTAGCTTGAAAATAAAAATTGTTTTCTATTATCTCATTTTATTCAATTCAAAATATTTAACAATTATCTTTCACAATATGAGTTTAAAAATTAACAAAAATAGTCCCACCCACCCAAGTCATTGTCAGCCGCCAGCAACCACTATCGAAACGATGCATAACCGGTTGAATTTGGCCGATCGTGCATCGATCTGGCCATTGATAACGACAAGATTTTGGCTATTAACGATAGCCAGAAACCTGGAAGTAGATCTAGCCAAAAAATGTCAGATCTAGTCGATTGTACGTCATTTTGATGACTGTCGGCCACCGTTTGGCGGCAATGGCTAGCTGCCGATAATCGGTTGGGTGGGTAAGGATGTTTTTTTTAATTTATAAACTTTTATTATAAGGAGTGTTTAGCTAAATTAACAAATGTAGGTGGTTAAAAAATAATCTAAATATTTTCAGAAAATATTATCAAAATATGTACCAAACAACTATTCTATATTTTTATCCAACTTTGATATAATTTTCAAATATTATACCAAACACATTATCTTATCCTATCCTATTTGATTTAATCATATCATATCATATTCATAATAGTTTTTCAAAATATCATGTTTCAAATAATATACCCAATAGTCTCGTTTGTTTCACTTTTTCGATTGACTTTTCTATTATCATATTTGGATTGAAAAGCAGAATATGTATTTGTTTAATTATTGGATCATTTCGTTTAGAAAATTAATCCAACTCAAATAGGATTTTTTGTCTAGAGCATGAAAAGTGGGTGGAACTTATTTTCTATTATCCTATTATATTCAACTCAAAACATTTAACAATTACCTTTCACAATAAAATATTATAAATTAACAAAAACACACCCTACCCAAGCCACTATTGGCCGCCAGCCACCAACTGCCGTTGGCATCGAAATGATGCGTTACCAATCATGCGTCGATCTAGCCGTTTTCGGCCAGATACACCATCGATCTGGCCAGAAACGGTCGAAGATCTGGGCATTAACAACTGCCAAATTTTGGCCATATATCTAGCCATTTTCAACTAGATCCACAGTAGATTTGGTCGGAAAAGTCTAAATCGGTGCACGACTGGCCAGATCCATCCAATTGTGCATCATTCCAGTCGGCAGTGGCTTGGGTGAGTGTGGGTATTTCTATTAATTTATAAAAGTTGATTGTGTGGGAGGGGGATGCTTAGCTAAATTAACGGATGTATAATCTAAATATTTTCAAAAAATGTTTTTAAAAAATGTATCAAACAACTATTCTATATTTTTATCCAACTCTGATATTCTTTTCAGATATTATACCAAACACGTTCATAGAATCCTATCATGTTTGATTTAATCTTATCATATCCTATTCATAATAGTTTTTCAGAATATTATATTTCAAATAATGTACCAAACAGGCCCTTATGTTTTTCGAAAAAATAAATATTAGGGCTTAGAAAGAAAATTGGTGGGACTTACTTAAAAGTATTAACTAAGAGTAGGATTTAAAGGCCCACATGGGAGTGAATTTAGAATTAGAGTAAACGACATATTCCCACCCGAGGTTTGATGAAATCCAAAGTTAGTACCACTAGTTGTATTTATTCCAGATTCTCAACCTTAAAGTGATGGAAAATTGTTTAATATGACAATAAAAGGATAAATTGGTCATTTTGAAGGAGGCAGTGCATGTTAGCAGATCACGACCCCTAACAGTACTCCGACGCACGTTAGCATATGTTGCCTTAGCGTTTTTCACCCTTTTCTAGTGATTCTTCCACCCAAAATCACCCTTGTCACCACTATTTGAACCTCTATCCTCTCATCTACAAAACCTTATCTTTCACAACCCCTCATCACTCGCCGATCACTGGCCATGGCAGTCGCAACGTGTGACTGTTTTTTTTTTTTTTTTGGCCAGTTTTTAGCCGTTCTGAGCGGCGATAACCCCAACCACCATCATCGTTTGGCTCCTCGCATCCTCCCTTACAAAACCCCTAACCTTCTCGACCACAATAGCTCACCATTTGTCGACCACGACAGCTCCAAAAAACACAATGAACAAGAACATCTCGGCCGACAAACGGCGACTAAATGATTACTAGGGACATAGGAGTTTTGTAGAGTTGGAGATGCTGGTTGTAGTGGTGGAGTCCAATTGNATCAAAGAAGGGATCACTTAGATTGGAAGGATGTAATTTTAAGTTTTTCACCACAGTCCATCTCTTTCTAAGCTGAATAATAATTAAAGCCCCTGATTGATTAACTTCCTAAAACTCTATTCTATAATTATAATACTAGTAAATAGTAAAAATTGTGTTTGTTTTCATATTGACGAAATTTAATTCAAAACCCAACCCTATTCAAAGACATTTTTTAGCTTGAAAATAAAAATTGTTTTCTATTATCTCATTTTATTCAATTCAAAATATTTAACAATTATCTTTCACAATATGAGTTTAAAAATTAACAAAAATAGTCCCACCCACCCAAGTCATTGTCAGCCGCCAGCAACCACTATCGAAACGATGCATAACCGGTTGAATTTGGCCGATCGTGCATCGATCTGGCCATTGATAACGACAAGATTTTGGCTATTAACGATAGCCAGAAACCTGGAAGTAGATCTAGCCAAAAAATGTCAGATCTAGTCGATTGTACGTCATTTTGATGACTGTCGGCCACCGTTTGGCGGCAATGGCTAGCTGCCGATAATCGGTTGGGTGGGTAAGGATGTTTTTTTTAATTTATAAACTTTTATTATAAGGAGTGTTTAGCTAAATTAACAAATGTAGGTGGTTAAAAAATAATCTAAATATTTTCAGAAAATATTATCAAAATATGTACCAAACAACTATTCTATATTTTTATCCAACTTTGATATAATTTTCAAATATTATACCAAACACATTATCTTATCCTATCCTATTTGATTTAATCATATCATATCATATTCATAATAGTTTTTCAAAATATCATGTTTCAAATAATATACCCAATAGTCTCGTTTGTTTCACTTTTTCGATTGACTTTTCTATTATCATATTTGGATTGAAAAGCAGAATATGTATTTGTTTAATTATTGGATCATTTCGTTTAGAAAATTAATCCAACTCAAATAGGATTTTTTGTCTAGAGCATGAAAAGTGGGTGGAACTTATTTTCTATTATCCTATTATATTCAACTCAAAACATTTAACAATTACCTTTCACAATAAAATATTATAAATTAACAAAAACACACCCTACCCAAGCCACTATTGGCCGCCAGCCACCAACTGCCGTTGGCATCGAAATGATGCGTTACCAATCATGCGTCGATCTAGCCGTTTTCGGCCAGATACACCATCGATCTGGCCAGAAACGGTCGAAGATCTGGGCATTAACAACTGCCAAATTTTGGCCATATATCTAGCCATTTTCAACTAGATCCACAGTAGATTTGGTCGGAAAAGTCTAAATCGGTGCACGACTGGCCAGATCCATCCAATTGTGCATCATTCCAGTCGGCAGTGGCTTGGGTGAGTGTGGGTATTTCTATTAATTTATAAAAGTTGATTGTGTGGGAGGGGGATGCTTAGCTAAATTAACGGATGTATAATCTAAATATTTTCAAAAAATGTTTTTAAAAAATGTATCAAACAACTATTCTATATTTTTATCCAACTCTGATATTCTTTTCAGATATTATACCAAACACGTTCATAGAATCCTATCATGTTTGATTTAATCTTATCATATCCTATTCATAATAGTTTTTCAGAATATTATATTTCAAATAATGTACCAAACAGGCCCTTATGTTTTTCGAAAAAATAAATATTAGGGCTTAGAAAGAAAATTGGTGGCACTTACTTAAAAGTATTAACTAAGAGTAGGATTTAAAGGCCCACATGGGAGTGAATTTAGAATTAGAGTAAACGACATATTCCCACCCGAGGTTTGATGAAATCCAAAGTTAGTACCACTAGTTGTATTTATTCCAGATTCTCAACCTTAAAGTGATGGAAAATTGTTTAATATGACAATAAAAGGATAAATTGGTCATTTTGAAGGAGGCAGTGCATGTTAGCAGATCACGACCCCTAACAGTACTCCGACGCACGTTAGCATATGTTGCCTTAGCGTTTTTCACCCTTTTCTAGTGATTCTTCCACCCAAAATCACCCTTGTCACCACTATTTGAACCTCTATCCTCTCATCTACAAAACCTTATCTTTCACAACCCCTCATCACTCGCCGATCACTGGCCATGGCAGTCGCAACGTGTGACTGTTTTTTTTTTTTTTTTGGCCAGTTTTTAGCCGTTCTGAGCGGCGATAACCCCAACCACCATCATCGTTTGGCTCCTCGCATCCTCCCTTACAAAACCCCTAACCTTCTCGACCACAATAGCTCACCATTTGTCGACCACGACAGCTCCAAAAAACACAATGAACAAGAACATCTCGGCCGACAAACGGCGACTAAATGATTACTAGGGACATAGGAGTTTTGTAGAGTTGGAGATGCTGGTTGTAGTGGTGGAGTCCAATTGGTCTTTTGCCACTGGAATCAATCGGAATCCAGC